CTCTATGTAGTGAGAAATATTCCCAGCCTCATTGGCTAAATTATCCATCATTTCTTCAATAATTTATAATGCCACATCACCATAGTTCATATACTCATATCTTTGAGTCTGTTCTGTTCTCTGTATTCATTTCCACTGACTTTCACTATTTTAATGACTGCATCTTTAAGTGTTATATATCTTGGTATCTAACAGGGACAGTCGGCTATCCATTGCCCCTGTTCTTTCCAACTATCCTTAGTTATTTGTGGATCTTTATCCTTCAAAATTAATTATTGAGTCATTTGTACAAGTATATTAGTCAAAATTCTCCAAAGAAACAGAACAAAAGGGAGTGTGTGAGTGAGGGAGAGAGATTGAGATTTATTTTAATCTCATGTGAATTGTGAATTGGAGGCTGGCAAGTCCCAATTTGCACCAATTTCCAGGGTAGGCTGACAGGCTAGAGACCCAGGGAGCAGTTGATGTTGAAGACCAAGTCCAAAGGCAGGCTGATGGTCAAATTCCTCCTTGTTCTGGGAAGGTTCTTCTTTTTTCTTTTTAGAGTCTTCAGCAGATTGGATGAGGCCCACTCATGTTTGCTTTACTCAAAGTCTACTGAGTTCAGTGTTAATCTCATTAAAAAAATACTTTCATAGAAACATCTAGAGTGTTTGACCAAATATCTGGTTACTGTGGCTTAGAAAGTTGACATGAAATTAACATGACAACAAGATTCCTCAAAATAGTATTTCTCTTATTTTAATTTGAATTACATTGAATTGGTATGTTAATTTTGGAAAATTAACATTATTGGAGTATTGAATTATTCTGTCTGTGAATATAACATGCCTCTCCATTTATTTAAGTCTTTCCTTACATCCTTCAATAAAATTTTAAAATTTTCTGCATAAAAGTCTGTATGTATTGTTTTTGTTGATATTGTAAATGGCATTTTATATTATATTGTATTTTTGTTTATTTAATGCTAGAGTAGTAGAATACTGTTGATTTTTTAAGTTGACAGTGTATCAGCCATCTTTCTTAGGACTTTTAACACTTGGCCTGTGAATTTTCTTGGAATTTTTATGTATGGGATGATATCAGTAGAAATATTAGTAAGTTTACATTTTTTCCTTTAATTTTTTTTTTTCTAATTGTATTTCTTTGTCTCATTGTGTTGGTCAGTACTTCCAGTATTATGCTGAAAACTTTTGTTGCTAATGGATAACTTTTTTCTTGAAAGGAATGCTTCTAATTTTTTTTTTTTTTTGTGAATAATATTTTTTTCTAGATATCTTGGTAGGTGATCTTTATCAGTTACAAAAGCTATTTTCTACTCCTGGTTTTCTGTGAAAATCATTTTTATCATAAAAGGCATTGAACGTCATTTTTTTTTTTGCTTAATCTTTTGAGATGATAATATGGTTTTTCTCGTTTAAACCATTAATGTACTAAAATTACAATGATGTATTTTCTGATGTTGAGTAATTCTTAATTTCTTGATTCTTAATAATAAACCATAATAACTTTAACTTCTATAAAAGAGACCACTGGCGGCAATTAGATTTTTTAAAGTGATTTTTGCATTTATGATTATGAATATAATTTAGGCTAAAATTTTTTGTTTTCTTGTACTGCTTTTATCTAGTTTTGTTACCTTAAAAGCTATAGCATCATATTTTCTAAAGCAACTTGTACTAAATAGACACCGTCTTTCCTTAACATTTGAATAGGACTGACTTATAAAACATCTAGCCTTTTTGACATTTTTGGGGAAGGGTGAGGGAGGAAGGTAAAATGAGGAAGATTTTTTGATAACTCTTTCAATTTTTTAAATTGCCCTAATCTATTTAATTTCTGTATTTATTATACCAAATTTTGCAAGTTATATTTTTCCCAGAAATTTCTTTCTTATCTAGGTTTTTTGATTTATTGTTTTCATAAAATTCTTGCATGATTTTCAAAACTCTCTATTATCTCTTTAGCTATCTCCTTGTTTTATTTATTTAATTTTATTTTTTAGATACAGGGTCTTGCTCTATTGCCAGGATGGAGTGCAGTGGCATGATCATAGCTCACTGCGGCCTTGAACTCCTGGGCTCAGAAGATCCTCCTCCCTGAGCCTCCGAAGTAGCTGGGAATACAGGCATGCACCACCATCCTCAGCTGATTTTTACATTTTTTGTAGAGATGGAGTCTGACTATGTTGCCCTGGCTGGTCTTGAACTTCTGGCCTCATGCAATCCTCCCACCTTGGTCTCCCAAAGTGCTGGGATACCTGGGATACAGGTGTGAGCCACTGCACCTGGCCCTTTCTTATTTTTAATAAAGACAATAATTTTGGCCAGGCACGGTGGCTCACGCCTGTAATCCCAGCACTTTGGGAGGCCAAGGCAGGAGGATCATGAGGTCAGAAGATTGAGACCATCCTGGCCAACATGGTGAAACCCCATCTTACTACAATACAAAAAATTAGCCAGGCATGGTGGCATGCGCCTGTAGTCCCAGCTACTCAGGAGGCTGAGTCAGGGGGAATTGCTTGAACTCGGCAGGTGGAGGCTGCAGTAAGCTGAGATTGCGCTGCTGCACTCCAGCCTGGCAACAGAGTGAGACTGTCAAAAAGAAAAAAAAAAAAAAGAGAGAGAGAGAAAAGAGTTTTATGTTTTCTATTCTTCTTTGTTTAGTCTTACAGAGGTTTGTTTACCTTGATAGTCTTTAAAACACAAGCAGACTTTAGGGTTGTTGATGATCTCTTGTGTTGGATCTCCATGTCACAGATTTTTTTCCTTTGGGTCCTTTGTTCCAGGAATGAGGCTGGGGCTGATAGTGGTAGTGAGGAAGGAAAGGAGAGTAAGATTTGCTCTTGCTTCACCCCTCCTCCAACCCATGATTGCCTGTTATTTCCATCTGACAGCAAGTAGAATAAGGACTTGAGCAGTAAGGAGGAGGATACGCTTTGAGAGGGGTTGAATATTCCAGGGAAGAGTATAGTGTGAAAAGATGGAAAATCTCAAGACATAGCTGCAGTGCAAAGGAGAGCTATGGTCTTGGGGCAATAAATGGCAGTGGATGCATTAGGTCAGGGACTGTCTTATTTCCTCTCAAGTCACAGGCTACCAGAAAGGCAATATCTGAGGTTCTCACAAGACTAACATGTGCTAGGTTAAATAGAGAGTGGTTGTCACTAATAAATCAAAGTATTACTAATAGTAAATGATTCATTCTGGAAAGTCTTGGGGCTTTCTATTAGGGCTCTTAGGGCCTGTATCTTGTAAGATGCTAAGCCTAGACCAATCTGAGACATAAAATATATGTATTTCTAATAAGTTTTAAAAAATTACTTATACTCTAATTTGTTCCCAAAATAATTTAATGTGACTGTGCTGACAATAATGGAAATGTCTCTACCCTGAAAAGCTAATTACAGTAGTTCCTCCTGTGTCTGTGCAATCATCTTGGATTGATTGTGAAATGCCAGTAGGGGTGGCATTGACAGTTATTAACTCTACCTCTTTGTAATATTTGCTGTTATTTTGTTTTTGAGGCTGAGAAGATGGCTTAAAAGTGGTCTAGACTACTGTGTATGACTTCCAATACCAAGAGATTGGAAGGTATTCAAGCAATTTTCAGTCCAGTTAAACTCAGAGGAATGCCTTCTTATCAGGCAGGTTTTACATTTTATCTGTCGTTAGGCCTACTCAAGACTACAAAATAAAAAGAGTAAATTTACGTCAGGTAATAAGGCAAAAAGAATTTTAGTAACTTCTCACAGCATTCTCCTCTGCTTTCTTGCTCACCAGTCAGTTGGTGGGAAGAGTGTAATAGACTAGGAAGGGGCATGTGGGAACTTTTTGGGTGTTATACATTTTTTCCAAAACTTGGTCTCGATGGAGGTTAACATGTGTGTATAAAATATTTATTAAGCTGTATAATAAAATTTGTGTGCTCTATGTATATTATACAACAAAAATGTGTGATTTTTCTTTTATTTCCTAAAAGGATAAATAATACTAAATACATTTTTTTTTTACTAAGTCAGAAGAGGTTATATAAATGTGTTGCTCCTTAACAAGACTTTTAATATCATCTTGAAACTCCATTCTGTGGCTCCCATGATGAACTGAGTTCTTACTGTCTTTCATTTTGATCCTCAAAGCTGCTTTGCTTTCCAGAATGTTTTAAATTAAGTAATTGTTGTTATTTTGCATTTTGTTGATCTTATACAAGTTAGAAATAGCTTGAGGAAGTTTAGATAAAAAGCAAACACCTATCTAAACATGAAAAGTAATCAACAATGTGCTGCATATTTAAGTATTAGGTAAATACAATTTAGAGGTTAATAAACTACCTGCTTTATCTCCTTCATATTGGTTTTGTTCTGCTTTCATTGGTTGTTTAATGAGAATATATAACACAAAGAAAAACCTTTGTATTAAACTAACATGCTTAACTTTAGATTTGAAACATGTAAGAGCAAAAAGTGGTAGTTAATAGGAATTTATGGTAAAGCTCGTCATAATTGTGAATATTCAGTTTATTTGTATTAATGGTTTATCCAGGTTTCCTACTATGGTGGTGGTTAATTTTACCAATTTTACTATGTTTATCACAGACTCCTTGGTTATGTACAATGGACTTGGGATTTCCAGCTTTCTTTTTCTTTTTTATTTTTGAGATGGAGTCTCGCTCTATTGCCCATGCTGGAGTGCAGTGGCGTGACCTCGGCTCACTGCAACCTCCGCCTCCCGGGTTTAAGTGATTCTCCAGCCTCAGCCTCCTAAGTAGCTGGGACTACAGGCACCCGCCACCATGCCCAGCTATTTTTTTTTGTATTTTTAGCAGAGACGGGGTCTCGCCATGTTGGCCAGGCTGCTCTCAAACTCCTGACCTCAGGTGATCCACCTGCCTCGGCCTCCCAAAGTGCTGGCATTACAGGTATGAGCCACCACGCCTGGCCTCCAGCTTTCTTAAATAATGAGAACTAACTCCTTGCTTCCCTTTGACTCTTGTTTTTATAGGCAGCCTTGCAAGTTGGGGGCCATGGAGAGAGGCTACACCAGTGTCGAGAAGTCATGCTTCTAACTTACAAATCCATCCCCATGCAAGTGGATGGGGAGCCCTGTAGGTTGGCCCCAGCTATGATTCGGATCTCCCTGAGGAATCAGGCCAACATGGTACAGAAGAGCAAGAGGAGAACATCCATGCCTTTACTTAATGAGTGAGTCTGCTCATGGCCTACCTTGCTTAACACGAAGACCTTGGAGAGGAGAGTGCAGAGCATGTGCATGGTCTGAGAACCTCACTGTGTTGGGAAGAGGAAAAAAGTCCGGGAGACTCAGCAGTTCCTTGGTTTCTCTCATGGGAACATACAGAGTTTTTTCCCCTTGTTTATTGTACAGTTCCACACCCTTCTTTTAGTAGTTATTACTGTACATGAGATAGATGATTCTTCTTCACTGACCACTTGAGAATATATTTATTGAGACTCTCAGAAAATCATTGAGAGGGATTCTAGGGTGGTAAACTGTGTTCAGGTAAATGTGTTTTTGTTTTGTTTCAGGGAAACACATAGTTAGCCTGCTCTTTACTTAGGTCGCTTGGAGAGTGTTGGTTTCTCCAGTCGCGGCTGGTTGGCAGAGCTGGTCAGTGGCTGGCCTCTATCCACATTGCATCTCTTTCTGCCTGCCAGCGAATTGTTCCCTTCCTGATGTTCCTATTTTGGGGTCCTGCATACTCTGGTGCTTCAACTCAGCATTGGCTTTCTGGGCAGCATCCTATTGTCCAGACGTAGCCTGACCCACTCTTTCTACCCTTAAACACGTGGTATCCCTCCTGGAGTTTTCCTTTCTTAGGCATTTTAATAAACTGACTTGAGGTAAGGTAATAATGACTAGATATTTAGAATGCATATTCATTTTATAGTGTGTCTCACTCCAACTAGTGATTAAGTGTCTGTGGGGTTGGAGAAGGGGATGGATAATGAACGGAAGTTTTGGCATCTTTTGAATATTTCCTATATATCATGCTGTATGCCTAAGGCCATTTCAGGGCTTAGCCTTGTGTCATTCTCTGTCACAGTGAGGGACTCTGAAAGGTGCTTCTCCCGTTTGTGGCCTGTCATGCATGGTTATCTATTTGCACTGAGTGGCTGGCTTCCTTGTGGTGCCTGTAAAGCAAGGGCATGCTTTGCCATGCATTTATGCAGAAGTCCCTAGAATAGCCAGCAACACAGGTGCCCTCACTCACTACCAGCACTTCCTGTTCTCTCTCTGTGGTGGCACATGTTGATGAGCAGGATTAGATAGTGCTCTCAGAGTATTCCAGCTTTTGGCATCTGGGTCTCAGTTTGAAGCTGGGATAAAAAATCTACTCTGTCCTCTCCTTCCTTCTCTCCCAGAATCCAGACTTCCCCCAGAATTTTTCCTAGATTATTTTCCAGAGGTGTTTTTTAGTTACATGTCTTTCTTTGTTTACATTTTGCGTTTAGTGAAACTCCTGACTCATTCCTCATGCTGCCTGCCCTCCCTGCCTTTACCTTCTGTTAGGTTAAATACACAATTGCTGAGGTTATATTTTAGAAAATGTGGAATGTCAGTAGTTGTATATGGTTCATCAAATTTACCCTAGAAATGTTAGAGTTACGTGGACCATGGGTTTGCCAGAAATCTATGAAATACTAAGTGAAAGAAAATCTCTGAAACTGTACTATAGTCTATGTTGTTGGGTCACTTTTAGATAGTTTGTTAAGAAGATATGCAGAAGCTAAAAGTTTTTACTATGTATAGGCAGAGAGCTCACAGTCTTAGGCCTGCTTCTTCTGTATTTAATAACCTTATCAGACATGAAATGGCTTTCAGCTGGTTTGGTTTTAAACAGCTTTTACCTTTGTGTTGAGAATTCGTATTTGCTCAACAACCATATTGTTAAGAATTCATTTGGCTTTCTGCACCTATAGAAGCACATAAAAAGAATTGTTTTCTTTTTGTACTCATGGCACACGTGATATATGATGGCACTTCTTGTAGCTCTTAGCTATGCAAGTGTTCAAGAAGCAGCCTCAACTTAAAAATACTGTTACTGGCTGGGTACGGTGACTCACACCTGTAATCCCAGCACTTTGGGAGGTCAGGTGGCTGGATCACTTGAGACCAGGAGTTCAAGACCAGCCTGGTCAACATGGCAAAACCCCTTCTCTGCTATAAATACAAAAATTAAACAGGTGTGGTGGCACATGCCAGTAATCCCAGCTACTCAGGAGGCAGAGACACCAGAATCTCTAGGACCACAAGGCAGAGGGTGCATGGAGCTGAGATTGCACCACTGCACTCCAGTCTGGGCAACTGAGCGAGACTCTGTCTGGAAAAACAAAACAAAACAAAACAAAAACCCCAAACAACAACAACAATAACAAACCCCAGAACTGTTATTTACTTTCTACTAGAGGCAGTGGTGCCTGCATCCAGGCCAGCCCATGCCCTCTGAAAGACTTACGAGAAATGGGAATAATAGTATAATTTTCATTTTATTAATGAATATTTATAAGACTTAAAAATAACAAAAATCTTTATTACTACTTGTGAAAAATTATTCAACACTGTATTTTCAGAAAATCAATACAGATAGCACATTTTCAAAAGAAAGCAAAAAACCCTAGTCACCTTGTAATATTTGCTTACTAAACCTTAATTTCTCTCATTCTAATCTTATTTACCTTCTGTGATTAAATATTTCTTTTGATTTTACCAGAAAACCTTGTTTTGAAATCTAAGGTCTTCCACTGGATTTCCAAGTGGAGTTTCAGGTTCAAGGTCAGCCTTTCCTTTAAGACTTTTCTATAAGTTTTCTTCCACCTTCTGAGTCCTTCAAGCCTTTCTCTGCTTTGGCCATCAATTGTGTGAAGTGTACCATTTCAAACAATGAAGAAAGAGAAATTCGAAAGACATTTTCTTTATTTCCTGCCTTCCTTTCTTCACCTGTCTTTTTTCTTTACTCAAGGAGAACCAGTCAAAAATATCTTTAGAATTTTTAGCTTAAAAACCTCTGTGTGTGTGTGTGTGTATGTTTACGTGTGTGTATGTGTGTTTGCATGTGTGTATGTGTGTGTTTGCATGTGTGTATGTATGTGTGTGTTTGCGTGTGTGTATGTGTGTTTGCATGTGTGTGTTTGTGTGTATGTTTGCGTGTGTGTATGTGTGTGTTTGCGCGCGTGTGTGTGTATGTGTGTGTTTGCGTATGTGTATGTGTGTGTGTTCCCAGTAAGAAGAAGGTGGCTGTTTAATTCATCTTTAAAAATTAGGCTCCTTTTACACAGCATGTTAATTGGATATTTGAGACGGAAGTGCTGTGGCTCCCTTAACAGCAGTTCCCTTTCCACTTAGATGCCAGTTATCCTTGTGGTTCTGCCCTTTCTCTGGGAGACTATATCTCTGATCTGTGTCTTCAGCCCAGAATTTTCTTCTAAAAATTGAAGACTGATACCCAAATATCTCAGTTGACATTTTTACCTTAATGTCTCATAGTAACCTCAAACTACATGCTAGAAACTGGACTCATTAACTTTATTTCCTTGGCTTTTCTTCCCCACTATCCAGTGAGCCTATTCCATTCACAGTTGTACACAGGAAACTACCATCCACTCATTTGTCCTGTTCCTGGCCTCTGAGGTTCTCTCAGTCACTTCTACTTCTATACACCTGCTAGTCCATTTCTGCATTGCTGTAAAGAAATACCCGAGACTGGATAATTTATTTATATTTATTTGTTTATTTATTGAGACAGAGTCTGACTCTCTTGCCCAGGCTGGAGTGCCATGGTGCCCTCTCGACTTACTGCAACCTCCGCCTCCCAGGTTCAAGTGATTCTCCTGCCTCAGCTTCACAAGGATCTGGGACTACAGGTGTGCGCCACCATGCCCAGATGTATTTTTGATAGAGACAGGGTTTCTCCACGTTGCTCAGGCTGGTCTTGAAGTCCTGGGCTCAAGTGATCTGCCCGCCTCCGCCTCCCAAAGTGCTGGGATTACAGGCGTGAGTCACTGTGCCCAGCCAAGGCTGGGTAATTTGTAAAGAAAAGAGTTTTATTTGGCTCACAGTTCTGTAGACTGTACAAGTATGGGACCAGCATCTGCTTGGCTTCTGGTGAGGCTTCAGGAAGTTTACAGTCAGGGTTAAAGGTGAATGGGGAGCTGGCATATCACATGGTGAGAGAGAGAGCAAGAGAGGGGGGAGGCACCATACTCATTTAAACAACTGATTGTCACATGAACTCAGAGTGAGAACTCACTCACTACCCCAAGGAGGGCACCAAGTGTTTATGAGAGATCTGTCCCCATGACCCAAACACCTCTGACCAGGCCCCACATACAACATCGGGGATTCCATTTCAATATGAGATTTGGATGGGACACATGTCCAAACCATATCAACATCCATCAGGGTAGCTACCACATTCTTTGAACTCTATCTCCTATTTATTTCCCAAGTCTTTCACTCTCATCCCCTCTATCCTCTCTACTGCTAAAGCAGCCAGAGTTCAAAGGTCATGCGAGCTACCTCTCAGCAGCATTACTAAAGTATGCTTCTGACTGTTTTCTTGTTCCCACCCTTGCTGCCTTCACATAATCTGTCTCTTCTGATATACCAGTTAGATTGATCTAAGAATCCCAAGCCTGTGTTCCTTAGCTTTGCAGACCTTTTCGATCACTCCCTTCTTCATTCTCTTTGCTCTTTGTTCCAGGGAAGATTGCTGTTCCTGGAACAGTAGCCTGTCTCCTACATCGTCCTGGTTTTGCTTTCAGGTCCTCTTCTTGCAGTGCCCTCTGCACCTCTTTATCTTCTGCTAACTCCTCGCTCACAGCTTAGGACCCCATTGAATTACTACTTTTCCTAATAAGCCTTTTCTGTCTACTTCTAGCTGTTAGATGTACCTTTACGTGCTTCAGTGGTGCTCTTGGTTATTTTCATGACACTACTTACTAAAAACAGTGTAATCATGGATTTACTCCTCCCTTCTCTGCTCTGTGGGGAGGCCCTAGGATTTTCCTTTTAGGATCCCCAGTGTCGGTCATAGGTCCTGAGACACAGTCACATCTTGCATCAGCGACTCACACTTGAATCTATTCTGTGACGCTGTCTCTGCTGTGTTTCTCAGAAATTGCTTTCTAAGATAAGTCTAAAATTTTGTGAATATAAAACTAATCTCAAATATGTTCTGATCACATTGTCTTATAAATGAAAGATACATATTTAATGATTTCAAGCTATGGCCCACACGGATAGAAGGAATTTCCATGAGAAATAGTTAACTAATAGGGCCTCATGATGCCACTAGATCTTCATTTATGAAAAAGGAAAAATTAATGTTTCCTAAAAAATATTTCTTGGCTTATAACCCCATTTGCCATTACTATACACAAACTAAAAAGCTAGGTCCCACTGTGTCCAGAAGCTCCTCATTTATTTGGGAGCATATGTCATTTTATCATAGCATAGGAATCTACACAGAGTATGAACTCCAGTAAATACCTTCCCTACAAAAAGGAATAAGCAGATGTATCTAGGTTCATATTCGTATGCCAGTAACATGATAAGCTGGATTATGTTCTTTATTTGCAAGATGCCATTGAAGGAGAATAGAAACAAAATTACCCAGGTGTTTCAGGAGATCTTCAATGAACTATTAATAAATGGATAATATTATCCTTAGTTCACTAGTAATTAAGGCTTCATTGTTAAAGATGGTCATTTTAACCAATGGCCAGATTTCTAGTCAGCAAACTTTGAATTGAGCAATCGAATTCCATCATCCTAGGCTGCTGAGACGTATTATATTGGTTGGAAATGATAGTACTTGGAGGATAACACAGACAGAGAGAGGCTTGGACTGGAGTTAACTCATGGGTGACTTTGTATGAAAAGTTATGTATCCTGCAGAACAGAGAGATCCAGGGAACTAGGTCTAATGTAGTTCCAATGAAACTCTTTAAATAAGAGAGTGGAGAGAATAATTATGTAAAGTCAACAAAACATTTCGGGTTTAGTTTCTTAAATTCTACATTTTATCTTTTCTAGCAGCTGTTGTAGACTCCATTATAAAAGAAAGGAGAAAAGGGAGAAATCTGTGGTTTGATTTTTCTCCCCAGAATGTGGGTAGAATGACAGCAATACAGTGATAAAATGAGACTTTCTTGGTATTACCTTTGGAGTTTTTTAAAAGCCTTTGTTGTTCAACTGAAGGAAGTTGAAGTTTTGGTTCAGACACTTTTTAAGATGATTGTCTTTTGATGAGTGTTCCTATAAAGCCTGGGGAAACCTGATGGCTGTGTGATGAAAGGGTTAAATTGACTTTGAATCTTTTCAAAGATGAGTTTACCATGCCAGCCTACCACTCAATATGTAAGTGCGTGCCTTCTCTCCTTGGGTGTCCTGATGGGCCTGAGCAAGGGAGGCCATGATCATCTCCCCGCACCCCCCGACCTGCTGTCCTGCATCGACCCCAGCCTGGCCCCGCTCCAGTCTGTGACTTGCCTAGAACCAGCGCCTTCCGTGTGTCCTGTTGGCTTTGTTGCTATCACCTGCTTTTTTTGGATTATTTCCGTGGCTGGCTTGGTTTTCCTTTTCCTTTCCTTCGCTGTTTGGTGATGCGCTCATTTAATTTCTGTTTAAATTTTGTGTGTCTCTCTTTCTCTCCCCTGGCTTGTTCCTTGTCTGTCCACGCTGTCGCTGACTCTGTCTTCGCTGCTCATTCCCTGCTGCCTCTAGTATTCACCAGGTGCAAACTGCGGACCTGCGGCGAGTGTCTGCTCCCCCCGGCTCCTTCACCATGTGAGTACAGTGCCGTTCTGTTTCTACATTTTCTCCCCAGCCTCGTCTCCTCAGGGTTGGACTACCTGTGTCCCTTGCCTTCACAGGTCTGTTCCTCAGATAAGGAAGCCACCTCACCAGAATTGCTTTCTGTTGCCCTCTTTGATTTGAAATGGAGCTGTGAAGTTTTTTATGTTCTATGTGCTTCCATCCTCTATCTAAGTTAACAGTTCAATTTTTGGATGAGATACTTTAGGGCTCATGGTTGCCTGGGGTTGTGTAGAATTCCATACTAAGCATTGGCTTTTATGGAAAGTGCATAATACCATTAGACTATGTCATTACTTACAGCTCAGAGATAAGCTTGAGGAAGTGCCTGCAGCCCTCAATTTCTGGATGAAACCTTAAGATTATGCATGGAGTTTTGAGTGTGTGTATGTGCGTATTTCTATTTTGGAAGATCCATAGTTACAATAAAAGTTCAATGACCCCAAACTGTCACTGAGTTAGCAAAATGCATTTTTATGTATATTTAGGAGTTTCTGCTTAATGTAGTCCAGGGTATTATTTTTTCTAATGAAAACAAAAAATATGTTTTTTAGCATTTCAGCTCAGAATTATTTTGTGCTCTGGACTCTGCTTTGTCCTTGGTTTTCTCCATATCACATATGCTTGTCTAGCATTCATTATGTTTCAGGGACTGTTACAGATACTTTACATATTAATTAATTTACTCTCCCAACAACCCTTGGCCATATGTGGTATAATTATCTCCCTTCTATGCATGAGGAATCTGATAGAGAGCTTAAGTAACTTGCCCAAGGTCACACAGTTAATAAATCATAGAGTGGGATTCAAACTCAGGAAGTCTGGCTTCAAAGTTCATGTTCTTAACAATTTGCAGTCTGCTGCCTTTCATCTGTCAGGATCCTCTGTATTTCTCAAGGCCCATTTGAATGATTACCTTTCCAAATAATTCTTCTTTGATTCTTGCTGTCAGAGTTAACTACATCCTCACTGGAGTTTATCATTCATGTATCTGTTACAGTTCTCAAGGTTTAATTTAGTGTTAATTACTTTAACTCTGTGTCTGTGTATTTCACACAGTAGACTTAGGCTATTTGAGATGATTGGCAATATCTTAATATGAATTTTGTGTTCCCAGCCCTGTTCAGAGACTTTAACATGAAGTATTCTGAAGCCAAACAATGATTGGTTGGTTTTCTTGGTGGAATGAATGAATAAAAGAATACATGTCTAAATAGAATTGTACAGTATATAACATCTGGTGGTATATATGACAAAGCAATTCCTAAAGTTCAGTTATATAATCCTATTTTCAACCCTTGTCTTATGCATACTAATTTATTTATTCATTAAAATATGTATTCAAAAACCTTTATTTTACACTTGCTCTGTGTCAGACACTAGTTTATGCTTTGTGTCTAGTGGTAAGCACAACATAGCACTACCTTCCTGGAGCTTACACTTGAGCAAAGAATCAATAAGAAAATGACATTTGATTGCCAATTTGAATGTTGTGGCTGGAGTAAAATTGTGTGTTCTATAAAGGCCAGTTCAGTAAATTGGAGTTTAAGGAGTGGCTGCACGTGATCATTATTTTTAGTGACTACATTGATCGTGACCAAAGAATTGAGAATGTTAACAGCAGAAACGCATATGATAGTCACCCTGTTTCTATCATGGGTTAAATTTTGGTTGTATTTACACTTTAGTCATATATCTTAAATTGGACTGGTTTATCTCTTTTTCCACAAGTGTGTGTGCTACGTACAGTGAAGTAAATGGTCATACTTGTTTCTCTAGGGTGCAGCAGGCACTAAGTTGTGGTTACTTTAAAACTTGAATGTTAATTTGAAAATATTTTATATCTACATATGATATATATTAAATATTACATGTCATAGATTTCCTACCCATAGGTAAAACATTTATATCATAAACATTAAATCAGGATACTATTTTAAAAATCAGATAATAAAACGTTATGGAATACAGCAAGGAATGTAGAGAAAAGTTTAAGTGCAATATATGCATTTTGCCTTTTTATGTTATAGCAGTGAGGATAACCTTGATTTACTCACACACCAGTGTTTGCTAATTTCAACAATGTTGAGAAAACCATGGTAACATTGCTTTGGTCCTGTAGAAGTTAAGAGCCCCAGTATCATGAAGTGAGTTTTTATATATTTTTGCGGGGGAAGGGAAGGGGATTGCAATCTCATCGGCCATTCTCTGCTCAGAACAACTCTTTTTTACAGATGATCTTTTCTTTGGGTGAACCCTCTCTTTATGCTGCTCTTGAAGCAATTGTTCCTTCCTTGAGAAACTTGAAGTAATCTTTTTTTCTCTCTAGCTTTCAGAAGACTTTTTCTCCAGGGATGGAGTGCATGGTGGTAACAATGCAATGCATAAATTATTAGGAATTGCAACATACTACTAATGCCTGTGTATATGCAAAATTTCCAGTTTATTCAAAGAAAAATCATGAAATTTTATGTTTTGATCATATATGACAACATATTAATTGATGAATTTTAATCAATGGAATTTAGTGGTCTCATCCAATAGGACAAAACAAAGCAAATAGAATATTTCTCCCCAAATCTTGTACAGTGCAACTTAATGAATTAATACATTCTTTATAATTGATTGGCTTCATGATGAAGTAAAGTCCTCATTGGAAGACACATGTACACACTACATTTCATAAATCATGACTAGTCATGCTAAATGCTGTAACTGCCAACTCCTATTCAGCTAATGCCAAAAAAGTGTGAAACTGCAGAATGTGTCTTTCTAGAACTTTCTTAGCCTTTAGTAGCTACCTCTCATTAGGTTCTATTTCCCTCCTGCTCTTACCTCAACAAAATGAAATAATGTGTTCTATTTACACCTAATTTATTCATTGCTTTCATCTTCCAACAAACATTATTGAACGTTTACTTCGGTTACTAGATACTCTGTGGGATATTGGAGAAGCAGAGATGAGGACACTAAGGTTTCTGCCCAGGAGAAACGAACACACTAGGAACAAACCCAGTTGTGTCGCCTGTGACAGAATTATGAAGCAATGCGACAAGCATTCAAGTAGAGGTTCTGGTTGTTCTTCCATATGAATGACTTTGTATTGAGTGTTTATTGTATTTGCTTTTATTTTTAATATTTAAAGTTAACATACTGTAAACCTGACTTTTCTTGTGTACAGTTCCATAAGGTTTAAGACATATAAAGATTCATATAACCACCACCGTAGTCAGGATATAGATCAGTCTGTCACCCCAAAAGAGCTGCCTCATGATGTATCCCATTGTAGCCAAACCCTCCCATCTCCCAACCTCTAGCAACCACTAATCATTATAGTTTTGTGTTTTCAGGAATGCCATATAAATGGAAGTATACAATGTGTGGTGCATTGTAGTTGGCTTCTTTGACTGAACACTACACCTTTGAGATTTATCCAAGTTGTTGCATATATCAATTATTTGTTCCTTTTTATTGCCCAGCTGTATTTCATTGTATGGATGTTTTAGCTTGTTTACCCACTCCCCCATTGAAGGATATCTTGGTTATTCTTCCAGTTTGGGGCAATTATCAGTAGAGTTCCTATAAACATTGATGAACAGGTTTTATGTAAACATAAGCTTCATGTCTCTAGGTTAAACATGTAGGAATGGGATTGCTGGGTCATATGGTTAAGTGTATGTTCACCTTCGTAAGAAACTGACAAACCGTTTTCCAGAGTGGTCGCACCATTTTGCATTTCTACCAGCAATGTATGACCATTCCAGTTGCTCCACATCCCTGTCAGCACTTGTACTGTTAGCATTTGGGATGCATGTGTCCAAGTCTTTTGATCATTTTTTAATTGGGCTGTTTGTTTTCTTCCTGTGAGTTTTGAGAGTTCATCATGTATTCTGCCCCCAAGACCTTTGTGTGCTTTGCAGGCATTTTCTCCCAATATATATCCTGTCTTTTCATTCTCTTGATGATATCTTTTGTAGAGTAAAACCTTTTGACAGAATCCAGATGATCATTTTTTTTTTCTTTATAGAGTTGTGTTATTGGTATTATGTTAAAGTACTCTTTGTCTAATTCCAGGTGAATATTTTCTCCTTTGCTTTCTCCCAAAAGTTTTATAGGTTTTCGGTTTTGCATTTACTTATGTGATCTGTTTTGAGTTTTTTTCTACAAGATGTGCTGTTTAGCTTGAGGTTAATGTTTTCGCATACGGATGTTCAATCCTTTCAGCACCATTTGTGAAAAGATTCTCTTTTTCTATTGAATTGCCTTTACAACTCTTATCAAAAAATCAATTGGATGTACAAAAAGTCATCCCTTAGTATCCATAGGGGATTTTTTCCAGAGTCCCATTTCTTAGATTCTTAGGTGCTCAAGTCCCTCATATAAAACAGGTATTTGCATATAACCTATGTACATACTTTCATGTATTTTAAATCATCTCTAGATTACTTATAACATCCAATACAGTACAAATGCTATGTAAATAGTTGTTATACTGTATTGTTTGGGGAATTGTGATGAGATAAATAGTCTGTACATGTTCAGTATAGACAAAACCATCTTTTTTTCTGACTATTTTCAATCTGTTGTTGGTTGAATCTGCAGATGTAGAACCCACAGAAATGGAGAACTGATTGTGCACACACACGTACACACACACACAGACACACAGATCCAATGTAAACTCTATTCTGTGCCATTGACCTATGGTTTATGCCTTTGCCAGTGCCATATTATTTCTATTATTGTGCCTTTATAATAACTCTTAAAATCTGGTTTCATTATTCCTCCAAATTTATTCTTCATTGTCAACACTGTCATGGCTATTTGAGTTCCTTTGTCTTCCCATAAACATTTTTAGAATCAGCTTGCCCATGTCTCCAAAAATTCTACTAGAAATTGGATGACTGGAATTATATTGAGTGTATAGATCAACTTGGGGAATGTTGACATCTTTACTGTGTTGAGACTCTCAG